AATGAAAATGAACTTGAAAATTCAGCCCGCCGGTGGCATTAGCCCCCTTTCAGGCGTTCATCAGCCTCAGGTGGGATAGTCTTAGGACTCACTCCTCAAGGGACTGCAAGGTCCGCAAAGGGTGGGGAGAGGGAGAAGAATGTCAAGGTTGAGGGGGATGTCGAGGAAAAGAGATACTGTCCGATCACCTCTCTCAGAAAAACCCATTTAATGTTGCCAATAAGCCATAGTCAGAATTTTCTGAGCACTTACCCAGAAGGATAGTGTTATGAGGTTCAGAGAAGTTAAGTGACTTGCCTAAGATCCCATGGTAAAAAAGTGGCCTGGTCCAGGGTCCGCAGCCTTAACTCTATACTCCACTGCCAGCCGGTACTAACCAGGTCTTACATTGAGCCAGGTCAATGAGGCCTGGGACTACCCTCCCCCATCTGCACCTTCCCATGACTCCAGGTGTCACCAGGAAAGAGAAAGGCCTGGTTCTAGATGGTGGTGAGAAGGGAAGACCCAGGGCTGTGCTAGGCTGGGAGTGGTCCCTGGCCTTCGTGGGACCTTCTGAGGTGGCCATGGGTCCTCTCCCTTAGCTACGGGGACCAGGTGCAGCACTTCAAGGTACTGCGTGAAGCCTCAGGAAAGTACTTCCTGTGGGAAGAGAAGTTCAACTCCCTCAATGAGCTGGTCGACTTCTACCGCACCACCACTATTGCCAAGAAGCGGCAGATCTTCTTGCGGGATGAGGAGCCCCTGCTCAAGGTAGGTGGGCAGAGGCCAGGATGGCAGGCTGGCCCAAGTGTGAGCCTCTGTGCCTCCTGCCATCCTCAGGGGCAATGATACCTGGGGGGCCCGGTACAAATCTGGCCTCCTTTTTTCCCCCAGCAGCCCCCATATCCCAGGAGGAGGGGGTACAGCCCAGGTTGTAAAGTTCTATTCTGGTGACACTGCAGTGAGACAAGCAAGGGTAGGGAAGGAGAAGAGGGAAAGAAAAGGAAGGAACAAAATGAAAATTTCATGAGGCAAACTATGTCTCACTTGTCCTCAGCAGTACTTGGCACACAGTAGGTACTCAATAAATGTTTGTTTAGTGAATGAAAGTACTGACACCTACTGAACCTATTGTGTGTCATGTACCGAGCTGTGCTCTGTACACTGGGAGTTTCATTGTCCCCATTGTACAGGTGAGGAAACTGAGGCTCAGAGAGGAATGTGACTCATCCAAGGCCACCTACCACATAGGCTCAGTCCTGGTTTCTGCTCCTGAGGAGCTGGCCTTGGGTGTAGTGCAGGGCAGTGTGAGCATTTGTGGGCAAGGTTCCGGCCAGACACAGGGCGTGTGCATGTATGTGGGGGGCGGTCCAGCCACCCCTTGTCCTCGCAATAACAGCAATTTGCCAGCCAGCCCTTTCATCAAGGGGCCCCGAGGACCAGCTCTCACTCTTATTAGGATGATGACACCAGCCAATGGGGTTATTAGCCCCAACATGCTATTTTCCTTGGAAAGGGGTGTTGGCAAGGCCTGGGGCTGGAGGTCAGGACTCTGCAACAGCCCAGCTGCACTTTTGCTCTGCAGAGGGTATAGAGAGAATGGCCATGGCCGAGGCCTTGGGAGGGTGCTGACCAATTGCCTCAGAGAAGCTCAAGTCCTGTCCTGTTTCTAGACTCCCACTGCCTTGCCATGTGTAACCTTTAGGGCCAGTTCATCCCTCAATTAGGCCTCAGTTTCCTCTCTATCCAATAAGATGAGCTTTCAATCTGATATTCCAGGAGAGTCAAGCAGTGCCTTGGGATACCCTTACACTTAGTGCATCCTCTGTCCCATTAGGATGATTGGCCTCCTTAGCCTGACCCTGGGGGCCAGGACAGCTGTGAGCTTTCCTCTGGGCCTTTGACTCCCAACCTCCATCCCCTCCCCGTCTCTGCTTGGGCCAGCTCTGACCTTGAAGAGTGTAAGGAAGCCAGGATGGAGCTGGGGGGCTGCCACACCCACCGCCTCGCTCTGACCCAGCCCTGGGATCACCCACCCTGTTTGGCGACTCTAGAGCTGGCTCAGTCTCCTGGGATCCATGCTACCTCCTCCTTCCTGGGCAAAGAACCGCTAATTACAGCCTGTCCACTGATTCTATCACCCATGCTGGATAAGATTCCAAAGGCTCAGAGCAGAGATTCTGGTGGGGCAGGCAGGGCCAGGGTACTGGGCATAATTGTTGTGGTGCCAGGCTGACATGCCTGTAGAGAGCTCTTGTCCAGCTGCTATTCTTAGGTGGGGAAATTGAGTCCCACAAAGGGCAGGGACTTACCCAAAGTCACTTTGGGGCATAGATAGGACTGGAACCCAGGCCTGAGAGCTGAGAGCAGCTCAAAATGACAGCCTCTCTCTCAAAGCCTGGCCAAGGGCAACAGCAATAAACTCTGCTCTTAGCTACATATCTCTTTATAGTTTATAAGGCCCTGTGGTTCCTGTGGTCCTGGGGCCTGGAGCCAAAAGTTATGGTTGCTGCAGAGCCAGGGAAATGAAATCCAAAGAGGGGCAGGGACTTATTCAAAGTCCCTCACTGAGGACCAGGACTCAGGTCACAGCTGGGCCACCAAGACAGTCATATCGTTCTGTGTAGATAGAGTGTTTGTGTGGCAGATATGCAGGGGGCAGGCAGCAGGCAGTCCATGGGGTAGTGGTCATCCACCTGGCATTAGAGGCAGAATCAAGTTCAACCTCATTTCTGCCTCAAAAATTCTGCCCTCCCCAACCTGCAGCAAATCATTTCTCTTGTTAGGGTCTCCTGAAGGGGCCACACTAACCACTTCCTCCTCTTGCAGTCGCCTGGGGCCTGCTTTGCCCAGGCCCAGTTTGACTTCTCAGCCCAAGACCCTTCACAGCTCAGCTTCCGCCGCGGTGACATCATCGAGGTCCTGGAGTCCTTGGACCCCCACTGGTGGCGGGGCCGGTACTGTGGGCGCATTGGCTTCTTCCCGCGGAGCTATGTCCAACCAGTGCAGCTCTGACCAGAGCAGGGCCCAGGAGGCAGAGTCAGCAGATCATCTGTCTACTGGACACTGAGCTCCAGAGAGAGGCCATGGATACCCCCTCTCCCTGGGTCCCATGAGGCTCAGCCAAGGGCCTTGGAGTGAACTGTGGGCTTCCTAACTGCCAGGCCCAGCCTCTGCTGCTCCACGTGACTGGGATAGCCCCAGTGGCTCACAGCCACCATGAGGTTCAGTGCCTATCAGGCAAGGGGAGCTCCTGGGGCTTCACACCAGCCTCTTTCTATTGGTCACCAGCTTTGTGATGTCTTAGGGTGGGCCGGCAGAGGCCCTGCCCACTTTAGCCATCAATGGCCCCATATTCAGCGAGGGCTCCTGGGTTCTACCCATTGGCAGCTCAACCCAAGGAAATATTGCCTTGGTGGGTGGGTTCATCTTGGATTCACCACCCACTGGGCCTGCATGCACCTCCCTCAGAAGGATCCTCCAGGTATTCTAGCTACTGGGGAGGTGGCTTAGGTATAAGGGACTGGCAAGGGCACTGTACATCTGTTGACCTGGTGTCACTGGACAGACTCCAGGTAGAGACTGACTTCTCAGCAGCCCCACAATGACTTCAGGCTCCACTTGGGCATCCAACACTCCGACTCTACTACAGATAGTTTGGGGAGGAACCGGAGGCCCTGAGGCCCTGTGAAAGGAGCAGCAGTGGTGAAAAAAATGGAGGCACCTGCTCCTCTCAAAATGGACAAGCTCTGAGGGGCGGGCCCCAGATGCAGCCACTTAGGAGGCTCACTGCACCCGCTCTTGTTTGTTCGGGCCCAAGTTGTGCCTAGACCCTTGGGAGTTTGGGGGAACTACAGGCCAGGTGGCAAATTGGAAGCCAGAGCTGAAATCTGAGGTCCGGCAACATCTAGAATGTGATGGGCAGTCTGGGTGGGGCCCCAGCTTGAGAAAAGGCAGGGTGTCCACATGGAATGTACACCTAGTAGTGGGTCCTAAGCAACACCTGCCTAGAGCCTGGGCACCCTTGGGAGCAGGAAGCATAAGGGAAACTTAAAAGGTCTTTGAATGCCAGGCTGGTGGGGGGCGTGGTGAGCAGGGAGGGAGAGAGAAGAGGCTCCTGTGACGTTTGGGAGCAGGCAGGATCAGGGAGGGGACCAAGGTGGTGGGGCAGGGGGGTGCTTCTTCCTCTGCCTAAGGCCTGGACTGAGACCCTTCAAGCCCTGAACTCCGGCAGGTTGTACTGCTCCTGACATGGACCCACATACTCAAAATAAAAACAGTAATACAGTAAGAATATCCATCAGAAATCTAATTTTCTTTCCAATTATGACTACCATTTTTAAAGTATCACATTCTTTTCTCCCATTTCCTCCCTAATTTTTTAAGGCTCCTGCTTAGCTGGCTTGCCAGTCCCTGGGCACTAACCCACCATGTAGCTATGAGGAGTTTCACCCATCTCTGGGCCTCAGTGTTTTCATTAGGGAGAGGAGGGTGGACCTGAAGACTCTAAGGGCTCCCACCTTCTTGCCCAGTGGGCAGCGTCAGGCGAAGTAGGCATAGAAGAAGATGTTGACACACATGAGGAGGATGGCATTGAAGCCACAGACACGGGCCCAGAAAGCATGTTTCTGGGCTGCTCGGATGTCACCTGGAATGGGTGGGAGAAGAAGAAGGACAGATGAGGGTCACAAGGCCACATTCGGTGCCCATGCCTCCAAGCCCCTGCCCTGGGGAGTGAGAGGGAGTGCGAGGGTCACATGTATACCTGTTTGGGCTCCCAGGGGCATGTTCTGAGCCAGAGTCCACCAGGTAAGGCTCTGGATCTGCAGGGAATGGATGGGGATGGAGGTGATGCAGGCTGGGGGCGAGGTGGACCCAGACAGGATCAAGGGTCAGTAATGAAAGAGGGCAGCTGAGTTCACATAGGGCCAGGGCCAAACAAGGTTAGGGGTCAAGAGCTAGAAAATTCTTGAGTCAGAGAGGATCAGGGGTCAGAATGGGACCTGAATCAGAAGTTGTTAAGGGCCAGACATCAGGGGTCAGGGAAGGCTCACCTGAGCACACTGGGGTGGTGGTGTCAGCAGGCTCCCGGCCACCACCACAGCTCCACTGAATACAAAGAGGGCGACAGCAAAGTGCAGGTAGTGGATGCTGCTCAGAATGGCAGGCCGCGTGTCTGGGTTGCCACAGGGTAGGGCTGGGTTCAAGAATTCCAGGACCAGCCTCAAGGCGCCCACCACCAGCCCTGCCATCAGGCCCCAGAAGGCCCCCTGAAGAGGAGGAGGCAGGGCAGCTGGGGCCACTGGAGGAAAGCCGATGTCCCCAGCCACACACAAGTGGTAGGGGAAGATGCAAACAAGCTGCAGCCCATCCAAGGAGGAGACCAAGCCTGACCCCCAAGTTCTGTCCCCACACTAGGTTTCCCACCCCCCCCACCCCGTCCCACCTGCTCATTGGCACGCTGCCAGAAGATGCCCAGGATGAAGACTGCAGTCACTGGAGGGGCCAGGGAGCTGGTCACCGACTGCATGTAGATGAAGAGCTGCCCACTATTGGAGCCCTGCAGGACAGGGATCCAGGCCACGCTCACGCCAATGAGCACCACGATGACCAGCCTGTGGGCAGGCAATGGGTGTGCTTGTCCCTCGAGGCCCTTCCTCCACCCTTTCCCACCTCCCCCTGCTCACTAGGACTTGCTCTCCATCCGTCCCCTGTTACTCCAGCTCCAGCCTCCTCCTTAGCCTGTGGTCCACTCCGTCAGAGACATGGCCAGTCCTGCCTGATCCAAACCTTTCTCTGGCTCCCGGCTGCCTGCAGGAACAGCTCCTGACTCAGCCTGTCTCCTTCTCAGATAGGCCCCTGGTGATTCCCTAGGGTCTCGCACTTGTCTTCAAGGCACCTGTCCCACCCTCTATGTGCACGTATATTTGGGTGTTTACTTGCTTACTGTCTGTACTCTCAGCCGGAAGCACAAGAAGGGCAGGAGGCTCAGCTCTTTAGTTCACTGCTGCATCTCCTGGCACACAGTAGGTGCTCAATAAACATTCAGGGACTGCATGAATGAGCTGCTGCCTTCACATTCAGGCTGGACTGACCTCCTGGTGGTTCCTCTAACACACCGTGCTCTCACACTGGCAGCCTGCATGAACTGTGACCTCTAGTTGGCACATTATCTGCCCCCTACGGCCCTTGGGTGTTGACTCATCCACAGGGCAACCTCTGTCCTAAGAATGCAAGGTTTGGAGCCAGGCAATTGGGTTTAGATTAGGATCTAGACTCCTCAGCCACGAAGCCTGAGACCTCCATTTTCAGCCAGAGTGAGCCCCTTCCCCTCTCCACCCTGCATGGACTCCTTTCAGCTCCTGCCTGCTTCCTCTCTTGGCTCAGGCCTATCCATAGCAGAAACATGCTTCACTTGTTTATTCAACAAACTAGTCAATAAGAGCCCACCTGAGTACAGGGCATTGTACTAGGAGGCCAGACTTGCTGATAAGTGGGCCCTGGGTCCTGCCTAGCACTCAGAGATGAGCAAAGAAAGCAGATGAGTCTGTCACCCTGCACTCAGGGATGGACTAAGGGAGCCCAGAGGAAGCATCAATCTAGGAGAGCTTCCAGAAGGAGGGGGCCCTGGAGCATTGAAGGGGTTTGTGACTCAGCTAAGGGGACAGAGCTCAGGCAAGGTATTCCATCTACTTCTCCCTGGCTGAGCACTTCTCACTTCCGTGTCAGTTGGGTGCCCCTCATCCCTGAGGTGGGTAGTGGATAAGAATCCTTGGAACCCTGGACAGGGCGGCAGGGGCAATAGAGGCTGTATGTGCTGCTGGGGTGGGTCCTCCTTCCTGCCCACCTGCCTGCCCACCCACCTCCCTTTCTTCCCTTCCAGGCCTGAGGGATAGGATGGAGGAAGAAGGTGCTACCTTGATTAAGGCTAATTAACCCTTAGCCTGGCAGGTGCAGGCATTGCTCTCTTCAAAGGCACAGGCAGACTCCATCAACACCTGTCCCACTCCACCCTCCTCACATGGGCTCCTGAAGTCCAACATCAGACTGAGCATCTCTGTGCAGGCGGAGTGGTGGAGGTGGGGCTGGCCTCTCTATCCCAGCCTGGAGTGGGGTGTTCCACACTTTAAGAGGGAGGTGTAGTAGAGCTGAACGCTGGCCTGACACCCATCATTGGGCCCTTTCCACTCCACCAAACTGGCAACTGAGGGAACTGGGACCCTGAGAGGATGAGCAATCTGCTCCACATCACAGCGCCTTATACCTGAAGGAGGCTGGCGGGTCCTGAGGAAGGGTTGGGTAGGGCTGGACTTGGTAGAAGAGTCGGGAAGAAGGGTCAAGAGTACAGTGGCTGGGGTGAGCTGGCATACAGGAGAGATCAGTTCAGGACTTTGGGTTCAGGCAGGAGCAGGAGAGAAGCCTGCTACTGAGGAGGCAAGGAAGTAGGAGGCAGGAAACATGCGGGCCACTAGGTAGGCACCGAGGCTATTAGTGTCCTAAGCCAGAGAGCTGAGGCATATACTGGGTGACAGAAAAGCATGCAGGTCCCAGTTTCCAGGATGGCCAAGCATAGAAGGGCTTAGGGAGGAATCTGTCAATCAGGAGTGGGTTCTAGGCCACAGCTGAGGAGGGCGGAGAACCACATGGCAGTGAGGAGAGGTGGTCAAAGGGAGGAGTGCTGACACTGAAGCGTCCTGCGAGGCAGGAGGGAGAGGCTCCTTGTTTTGGAAGAGGCTATGAGCCTGAAGATGAGCTCACACCTGCCTGCTTATCTGGCATGTCCCAACAGGGCCCTTCTCACAGAAGCTGCTTTGCATTTGCATCACCGGGACAAACTACCTGGAGCTCTGGGTGAGACCTCACCCTGACTATGGACTCCCAGGCAAAGGATGCACTGTTAGCCAAGCTAAGCACCAGAGGGCTGAGCCCCTCAACCAGCAGAGTAGGGGTCATAGGCTCGGAGGGAGACAGGAGGGGAGAGACCTGGGAGAGGGCCCAAACAGACACATGCCCACACTTGGAGACCACCAACTCCTCATCGACCATTGTTGAGTTCACCCCAAAGGACACCAGGTACCTGACCAAACATGAGGATGGAGGACTGGGCCAGGCACAGCCCCTGCCTGTCTCCATGAGGAGGAGCACTGGAGAGACAAGTTGGACCTATAAAGGCCAAAAGTGCTGCGAAGGAATCTGGCGATAGTCCCCTGTGGGAGGCATTGAGGGGAGAGAGGCTTGGTCAAGGGTATCAAGGAGAGCTGCATGGAGAAGGGAACACTTCTCCATGAGGATGAGTTACCGAGGTAGTAAGAAGGGGACAAGAAGAAAATGAGCGGAAGCTCATTGGGGTCAGAGGCATGGAGGCTAGAGGGACAGCTGTAGCCCGAGTGCGGCCAGTCCTGAGTTCTGGCTCGGGGCCCTCTTTGGGGCAGCTGGGAAACATCAGGAGGGCTAGGGGCTCAGATTTGGGGAAGAGAAAAAGAGCTCTGGAATGGTTGGGGGAGGGGGCTCTCCCCGGCTGAGACTCAGAGGTGCCACTCAGAGTAAGAGATGCATCCAAGATGAGGGCTGGGACTGTGAAGGGGTGTCCAGGAGAGTGATGTGGGAGGCTGGATGGACAGAATATTCTGGCCTCTTCTCTCCTCTTCTTTCCGGCATCCTCCTTTCTCCAACTGGCAAACTCCTATTCATCCCTCAAAGCCCACCTCTGGTGGGGCCTCATGGGCCAGTTTTGTGGCTGGGAAAGTCCACTCCCCAGCCCTTCCCTGGTGCCAGCACCCACCCACCATACCGTCCCACCAGCAACAGCTCTCGCTCCCCAGCACAGGGCCGCAACTTCCTCCAGATGTCCATGGTGAAGAGTGTGCTGCTGCTGTTAAAGATGGAGGTCAGCGACGACATGAGTGCAGCCATCATCACGGCGATCATCAGCCCCCGAAGACCTGTGGGTCAGGGACAGGTGCTACTTGAGCCTGTGGCTTGCTGGCAATAAGAATCACAACATAACTGTTTCTGTTCTGTACTATCAGCCCTCTCATTTCTACAGAGCCTTGCAGTTGACAAAGCACTCTCATACCCGTGACTTCATTTGATGGAAGGATTAGTAACCCGTTTGACAGAGAAGAAAGTGAAAGCTCAGAGAAGGGAAGAGAGGTGCCCAGGGACCCGTGGCAGGCCAGAGGCAGAACTCTGAGGTGGAGTGGGGGAGTGAAGAAGGCCTCGGGTGGGACCCTCAGCAGTGGCCCAGAGTCTGGGGACTTCCTGTTCACATCAGGCCCCAGCAAGCACAGAGGATCCCCTTTCTTGTGGCTCTGTAGAAGAGGAGATGTAGTTCTTCGGGAGAACAGAAAAATCCACCTGCCGATTGGCTGAAAAAGAGTAAGGTGTTCTCATCGAGGTGGGCAAGACACTGCTGTGTAAAGCCTTCCAGGAGTCCGGGGTTGCAGAGGGGAGAGCTCAGCACTGGGTGTTGGTCCAAGCCTGTCTCCAAGGCCTCTTAAGATTTTTCTTCAAGTGTCTAAGCACCCCTCCTCCCACTTCTACAGATTCCATACCTGTCTATCCTCTACCCCTTGCCCTAGGATAAGTCTGAGAAGGTCCCCTCCAGAAGGTTTAGCCTCACAGGTGCCATTCGTTGCCTGGCTGCATTGCTTGGCCCAGTTTCTGCATCTGACCAGCTGTGAGACTTCTAGGCATCCCATGGTCCTCTCTGTTTATTTATCAGGCTGACTGGAATGGGGCCCAAAGGGAAGTGAGTTTAAAAAAGTGTTTTCCCCCAAACATTTGTCTACCTTTCTTTCCTTGCTCAGGAAGGTAGATTAACTCAGGGCTTATTCTCCAAACATTTTTCAGACAGGGAGCTCAAGTCCTAAAGAGAGATTAGATTGTGGCCTAATAACAGCTGGGAGCTTAGCAAGCCCTTACAGAGCAGAAGGGGAAGGCGAGGCCCAGATGTGGGAACCCAAGCTGCAGCCAAGCCTTACGCCAGGCAATTTCCCTAAGTTATTATACTTAATCCCAGCAACAACACTGAGGGATGGGTAGCCGTCATTATCTCCAATTTACAAATGAGGACACTGAAGTTCTGAGCAGGGAAGTGACATGCCCCAAATATCTCAGCCAACAAGTGGCAGAGCAGAAATCTGATCCCAGGTCTATGCACTCATGTCCCCTGGGCCTTGGCTCCCTGGGAGAAAGGGAGGAGCAGGGTGGGGCCAGGTAACTTCCACAGGGGAGGCCAGTGGGAGGGAGGTGGACACACTCAAGGGTCTGAGAACCCAGAGGTAAAACTAGGCTGTAAAGTGTCTCAGAAAGCTGTCTGCTCCTTTTGCTTAGGTGGGACCTCCCACACCCTCGCTGTCAATTTCCTGGACACCTCCTGTGACTGGGACCTTACCACCCCATATCACACTGGCAGGGCCATTGTTGCCATGAGAAACATGGAAAAGGTCAAAATCTGCCTCATAGTTTCACTTGTGGGCCCACAGTGTCTCAAGGGGAGGCAGAAGGTGCAGGCTCATGACAGGGCTTGAGCTCCTGATCCCAGCAGAGTAACCAGTGGGCTTGGGGTCAGACAGGCTGGAGTCTGTCTCAACCACTCTGTAGCCTTGGACAAGCACTCTCCCCCCATCTCTGTGTCTCAGTTTTCCTATCTGTAAGATGCTGCTAATAACTCTACCTCACAGCCCTAAAGAAGAAGCGGTTTGTAAAAGTCTGGCACCCAGTGGGCCTGAAAGAAAAGTTATACCCTTTCTCAAGGGATGGGACAACACAGGTTAGGAAGACAAGCCCTGGAGGCAGATTCTCTGGATTCAGACCCCAGCTTTGCAGCTCACTTGCCGCATGATCTTGGCCAAGTCACTTAACCTCTCTGGGCCCCACCACTAAAATGGGGATGATAACAGCATGTAGGGTTCCTGACAGGAAGACGCAAGTTGCTCACATGTGAAACCCTTGGAACAGTGCCTGTCATGTGGTGAGTGCCACGTGAGTACTTTTTATTATTACTCTCCTCTCTTCCCTGATGAGCAGAACATCCACAGGGATGTCACACAGCATTACATTGGATCCAGAGTGACCCCTTCAGCCCCCAGGGCCCCTCACTCTAGTTCCCACCCAAGGTTACCCCTCAATCCAGACCCAACCAGAGCCTTACCGATGGGCATCAGTTCCATGACCAGCTTGGGGTAGGCAATGTTGGAGCAGCCGATCTCAGCCCCGCAGGCCCGCAGACACTCAGATGGCACCACACAGCCCACGTCATCTGCATGAGAGAGATACCCAGAGTCCCACACCTGCCCTGCACTGCCCCCCCAGACAGATGTGAGCACCTGGGATAGGCAAGACCTGGGCCAAGGGCAGGAGACTGGCCTGGACCTGCTTTGTCACTGCCTCTGACCAGCTGCTGCTTGGCACTGGGCCTCAGTTTCCTAGTCTGAGTCACAATGAGGGGGCCAGCCTCTGAGAACTATTCTGGCACCTAAGGCCCTGACTAGTCTACTTTTGCCCCTCTTGGCCCTGGCCCCTAAGGGCAGATGGAGGCTAGAGAGGGAAGCCTTCCCCGACTCTTGAGGTCAGAGCTTTCAGGCAAGGACATTTTCTTGACTAACACCCCGAGCTACCTTCAGAAGCTTTCAGGTGACTATGAAAATATGAGAGGAGCTCATCACCCCCTGCCCAGAGCTCTCTGGTGGCTCACCCTCTCAGCAGTTTATAAGACCCTCCACTGGGGTGGCTCCACAGTGTAGTGGTTAGCACGTCTGCTTTACAGGCAGAAGGTCCCAGGTTCATGCCCCAGCTGGAGCCACGGACCATACCCCGGATGCACCTGGTCCAGGATGCACCAGGCTCCAGATGCACCAGGCTCCAGGGGCGCCAGGACCCGGGTGCACCCCGTGAGCATGTGGGAGGAGATGTCCCGCCTTCAGAGATCCAGTTCTTAAGGGGAAAGGGCAACATCCACAAGTCAGGGGTGGAAGTGTGTGGGGGGCAGAGATTAAAGAGGGGGGGAAAAAAAGACCCTCCATCACCCATGACCCAGACCTTTGCCTGGGCCCTCAGGGCTCTTCTCCTTCTTTGCTACCCTCTCACTGGTGCCAGCCAGCTGGCCTTCCTGCCTCTCCTCCAAAAGCAGTCTCCTTCCCGCCTGAGGCCTCTGCAGCCCCTCTGCTTAGAGTAGCTCTCCCAGGCCTTCCCAGGGATTGGCTCAGAGATCACCTTCTCCAGAAATAACCCCTCTCTGCTTTCCTGCCTGTTTTCTCCTGCACATCCCTTTTCCTCCCCTGGATGACTTGGAGATGTTTGCTTGTTTCTTGCCTCTTCCCCATGGCAGGGAGCCCAGTAAGAGTGAGGACTTGGTGTTGCTGTAGTCATCCTTTTAGTGGCCAGAGCAGCCACACTGCTCATTTGGTGAGTGAATGGAGGAATTAATGGGTATTTCAGAGCTCAGCCCAGACCCAGATTGAATCCTAAGTCCAGGTCTCCCTAGCGAGCCTTCAAACAGAACCCTGTCTGGGTCAGGAACCTCAATGCCGCCTTGAGGGAAAGCCCACCAGGGAGCCTAACTCTGGCTCTGATGGAGATTCTGTGGGATCTGTTCCTCCATCACCCATGGCAGCTGGGGGCTCATCTCTGCCTAGCTCACCAGCACAGTGTAGGTGATGGGTAGAGCCAACCCCATGTTCATTTGTTCCTTCAGGAAACACTAACACTTTGGCTCCTGTCCCCCTAGGATTTTCAGAGGTCCATGGAGCACAGAGCAAAGGAGGAGATGGCAATTACAGGAAAGCTCAGAAATAAGCTGCCCGATAGGGCCCAGAGGGCACAAGAGTGGAGCTGCTGGGCTGCAAAGTCCTATGGCGGGGGGAGGTTAAAGTCTCCACATGGTGGGCATCAACATTTCTATGACTTGGTGCTCCCTGTGAGGACAGAGCATCCCTGGGTTAAGCACTATCCCCTCCAAACGCCCTTTCTGAAAGGTCCTTCCTTAGATGCCTAACCCACGGAGGCAGGGTATATGTCTCAGATCTTTTCCTCTAGGCCAGAAGAGCTGGAGCAGAATCACCTTCCACTCCACGATCCCACATCCCAATCTAGTCTCTCTTGAACTCCAGCTTTCCAGGACACCTGCTCCCTGTCATCCCCCCAGGCACCTCCCACTCAATGTGTCCAAGCAGATTTGTCTCCCTCCCCCTCCTTGTCCCAGTGATGGTCCCCCACCCTCCTTCCTCCCTTCCCTAACTTCCTGCCAGCCCCTAGCCCTATGACTTCTCCTGCCAACACCCTGCTGGCTTCACTCGGCTCCTGCCTTGGCTCCATCTCCTCTCCATACAACCTGAGCACCAGCTCTTCACTGTCTCCCTTCCATCCCCTCCATCCTTTGAAAATCACAGCTTTGCTCATAACACTTACTTTTCAGGAACTCTCTCCACATCCCCTACCTCTAGAGCCCATGGCTGCCTGAGAAAAAAATCTTTTCCATGGCATTCAAGACCCTTGACAACTGGTCCCAAGTCCTCCCATCCAGCACCCATGCACGAGCCACCCTGACCTGTTGGTATGTTCTCACACACACCCAGCACTTCAACTCCTCCATGCTTTCGCAGACGCACTCTCCTCCTCCCAGTGCTGTCCCTGCCCTTGTTTACCTCCTGCTTCAAGGCCCATTGCAAAGGGCCTGTCCTCTGAGGCCTTCCCTGATTCTCTCCCCATTCGCCCCCAGGGTAGAGCAGCTTCCTTCTAAGGGCTCAGTAGGCCAAGGATTGAATCACAATTGTTTGCCTGCATATTTTGCCTCCCCTACCAGACTGGGAGCTCTCCAAGGATGGACAATGGATTTGAATCATCTCTCAGTCCCTGGTATCACCTAGTTCAGAGCTAAGCCCAAAGGAAGAAGGTTGGGAGGAAGGAAGAAAGGCATGAGAGAAGAGAAAGAGCGGGAGAAAGTATCCCAGAAAGATTCATTAAGGAGTTCTGGCACTGTTTGATCCAGCTGCCATACCCTACCACCTCTGCCCCCACAAGTTGTGCAGATGACAGAACTCAAGAACAGAAAGGGCATAACCTGCCTGGGACACACAGTCAGACCCAGGACAGAGCCCAGGAACTCATGGCAGGACTCTGGGACTACTGGGGTCCAGCATTCAGAGAGTAGGTAATAGACCCCTCCTGACAGAATCTGAGCTTGGGCTGGCTGGTTTTACTGCTTGAATGACCCAGCCCTCCTGGGAGGGACAGATAAAGAGTCACAGCCACATAATGGCTCAGAAAGCCCGAGTCAGGAGATTCTGGCTGAGTTTATTCAGCCTATTCCAGGCTCCCAACATGGGGCACTGCCTCTGGGCACTGCTGGCTCAGTTCACCTACCCAAGTGTTTGTGCTGAACAGCAAGAAAGAACCACTTCTCCTTTATGATAGCAGCAGAGGTGTTGCCACTTAAACAAAGTCCACCAAACGTGCCAACTCAGGAGTGAGTAGCCCTAGGATGGTGAGGGCCAGGGAACTGGGGAGGGGGCTTCTGGGTTTGTCAGAGCACCTTCTATGGACATGGGAGCTCCTCCACTGGACTCCACATCTGCACTAGCACCCACATCCAGCCAAGGGCTCACACTAGGATCCTGGGAGTTGCTCCTCTCCTTTCTCCCAAGTCCTCCCTCCCTGCAGCCAATGCCAAATCCAGCCATTGGGCTCAGTGACCAGGGGAACTGCACCACCTCCTCGCTACTCTGTCTTGCCCTCTCTAAGCTCCCTCCCTGTGAGCAGGAGAGAGAACTTCTGAAACCTATCTGCTCATGCCCCTTCCTGCTCACACCCTTCTGTGGCACTCCATTCTTTGCAGGAGGGATTAAGAAACTTTTAACTGTGCCATTCACAGCCCTCCACCTATTTAGCTACCCTCGCTCCCACCAATTTCACCCACACCTCTGGGCCTCTGTGTTTGCTGTTCCCTCTCCCTGGAATACCCTCTCCTCATTCCTAAACCCGGGGAGCTCATACTCATTCCTATCAACTCTGAGTATCTGGGTCCCAAGGTTCCAGGGCAACATCCTCCATGGCACCAATAACTCTGTGACCTGTCTATCCTGGCTCCCTATAGTCTATGACCATGGGGCCCAAGGAGGAGCCTGGGCCCCAGCAGTGCCCAGGACAAGCCAAGACATGGCAGGCTCTGCTGGTATTTGTTGACTGATTGAATGATCTTTTCCCAAGTTGGCCACTGGAAATACCACTCTGAGGGCTAATCAAAGCGCTCCCCACTCCCCGATGAGGTCTGGCTAATTCCCGGGAGTCAGTCCAGATGCCAATGCCACAGTAGAAACAGAAAAGCATACAGAACGGGATTGAAGTTCAGCTCTCCCAAGCACTTCTCTGTGATCCCGGGTAATTGTTCTTTGAGGCTGTTTTCTCCTTCTGTAGAACCTTTCTGGGGACATCCACAGACCAAAAACTCAACTTCAACCTAAATTTCACACCTTATTAAAAAATTAACTCAAAATAGAACACAGATTTAAATGTAAAACTATCAAACTTTTAGGAAAGAAAGAAAGAAGGAAGGAAGGAAGGAAGG